TGAGCAAGGTCGGCCTTTATTGCTAACATCAATCTCTTATAGGCTCTCTTACATCTGTACTATATAATATTATAAAGAGGAAAGATTTGTATTTTTGTATGTATTCGATTCGCATAAAAATTACTAGGTCGATTTTAAAAATTCCTTCACCAATAAAAAGCTAAGTTATCCGTGAGTAACATAAACTATATTTTTTTATTTTTTATTTCACGCGGACGAAGTCGCGAGAAACATATTTAAAATAAAACCCGAAACTACTTAAAAGATCTGTTTACACAAATAGCAGTTAGTAAATATTTTTAATTTTTAAACAACTTACTGCGGATAAAGTCATTCTCGTCTGCGATGTAGTGGCTACGTTGTAGGAACTGGTTTCTGGTGACGCTGAAACAATAAATTACAGAATTAAAAAAATTAAATCACTAAGATTAAATCCTCTCCCGGTAGAAAATTGTAGATGATGATTGACATATCTTCTTAATCAAGAGGTTATTACAGTTATAGTTTATAGAAAAACCTGATAAAGTGAAATTTTAGTAAATTAGCCTCACGCTACGTAAATCTAACTACTATAAGTGGGCTATTCCACGCAAAACAACCTGTCAAATAAACTTGATGTTTCTAATTACAGAAATATTCTACTAATATTCTACCCATCTAAGAAACTGGTTTTAAAGGATCTAGAAATTCTAATCAACTGATGGAATTCAAACCTCAGAAACTGTTATTACAGATTTTTGACTATTTAGTTCGTGTAACACAATACTAAATTCCTACACGTGGAGGGAACTTGACTATGGTCGGGCAATAGTGAACGACCAGGCAGTTACAAGTCGTGCAATAGTGAACGACCAGGCAGTTACAAGTCGTGCAATAGTGAACGACCAGGCAGTTACAAGTCGTGTTGTCTAACCAGTGTTAGGTCTGCGCGCGTCCAGCGCCCGCCAGATGTCGCGCACGTCGGCGTGCAGCGCGCGGAGCGAGCGCAGCACCGCGCCGCTCGACTCCAGCCCCGCTGTACCCTCGCCCTCGCCCTCACCCTCACCCTCACACTCACTGCCAGACGATGCCTCGCTTGTAGTCTCCTATACATAACAATAATCATTAACTAATAAAAAAAAACTTATACAGGGTCCTGTATAAGTTTTTTTTTTTATAAAATATGTGATGGGAATTTCGGTTTTCTGTACTTTATCTAACTGTGACTAAGCTATCTGAGCCTATATCAGCCAGTGATGGGACAGGCCCTAAATTAATATTTTTTTTATTTTTTAATGTAGTTATAATTGTCGTGAAAGTTACTTGATTCAACCATTCCATTATTTAGAAGAAAAATCTTTCTTGTGAACGCTGTGTACGCCTTCATCTGTATGTTCCGTTTTATTTTTTCGGTCTACAGAATATTTAACATGGTTGTGTACTTTGAACATGCAATTGGAGTACCTTTCAAATAAATAAATAAGAAGAGGCATATTGAACAAAGTTTTCGGCAGTAATTTCTCTGACAGGTAATACCTCAGTTGTCAAGTTTAGTACGCTTCCTCGTGTCTTCATATTGACATTTTGCAAAATTATAATAAGCACCATCTTTTGTTATAAAATAAACTAAACAGTGTTACAAAATAGTATATAAAATGTCAGATGAAATTTATAATACAAAACAGTCAATATAATATTTGAAAATTGGAATTAAATGAAAACTACAAAACTAGGAGCAACGAACGATAAAGAAAAAACATAAATAGTCAAACTAAAAAACACCAATTTTGGAAATCAAAACATCACAAAATAACCAGCTCGAAAAATTCTAACATAACAAAGTAATCAGTTGTAAAAGAAAATGAGACACCAAAAACGAATCAAAATGAGAAAAAAAACCAATCGAAACAAAATACGATGAACGCAAATGAACAGCCAATAAGTCGAAACATTGAGAAATCAAACATTGTACAACAAAGCGTCTAATACCAATTTGTTGGAGCAAGAGAGTAAGAGAAGCAGGAGCAAGAAAAAACTATAAAGGAAACATGATAAGAAGTAAGAGCAGACGGAGCTGCGCAGGTGAAGAAGTAAGATCAGGA